CCCTGTTGCTAGTTAGCCAACCAGCAACGGGCATGAAACTGTATGCAGATGGAGAAAGGCAATCACCCTTAATGGGCGATCAATGGTGAAGGGCAATCACCCTTAATGGGCGATGAATGGTGAAGGGCAATCACCCTTAATGGGTGATCAGGATATGCATAGGGGATTAAGGGGGGGGGAATACAGAGAACACAACAGCCTCCACTCACCTTCAAAGACATTCCACATAAAACAATTCTGCCAGTTGTTACACAATGATGCCATAACCATGTACCATTAAGGAAAAAACTCCTAAAGTTACTCAGTCGATATTTTGCATAATGTTTCTGCATAGCACAAAATGTCAATGTTATCAAATGTTAGTTCTTCCTAGGACCCACTGTGTTTACCTTCCAATAATTCAAAATGCATTCTCTGAAGTGAGGTTAATAAATATTATTCACAGATTCCTAGCTAATATTTATTTATAAATTACTCTTCTGGATATACTGTATGAATGCTTAGCTAGAGACTTACAAATTAATCAGTGAGGAGGCAATCAAAATTAGTCTTTAAAATTCTGGCAGGTTTTTATAATGTTTAGACAGTTTTTATTCTCACTATTATGGAATACTAATTACATTTCAAAATGTTTCCACTATGCTGAATAGATAAATTTTATTAATTTTATCAATAAAACATATGGTAAGTGAAAACTTGCACTCTGTGATACAGAGTTTAATTTCGTTTTGGTCCTAAAAAGAATGAGATAAAATTGCCATGCCATAGCTTTATGATTTCAATAAAACAGCAACAGCAGCAGCAGCAGCAGCAGCAACAACAACAACAACAACAACAATAATAATAATAATAATAAAATCAATGGTTGTACCAATAGTAATAGGAGCACTATCCAAAGGGCTGCCTAGATACATGGAGATTTTGAACTTATCAGATCTGAATATTCTGACTTTGCAAAAAACCATCCTACTCGGAACTGCCTATATACTCAGACGTTACCTAACAGTTCTTAGATTAGATTAGGGCTTGAACTGTTAAGTTTTTACCAGTCCCAGACTGTGAATTGAATTGAAGATTAAATCTTAAATAAAAATAATAATAATACACCATTGGCATTGATAAATGCGCCATCAGTCAATTGCAAAAAACGGTTTTACTGGGAACAGCTTCCATCCTGCGGTGATACCTGTAACACCATCAAACATCCAGATCTGCCTATTCCAGGTCCTTGGTAAGGACTCGATAGATAGACAAAAATGCCAAACCCAGTCTGAACATCTGGCTGACTGTGCGATGATCAATAATAATAATAATGTGGAACTTTTGAATCCAAATAGACAGACATTTGGCTCACATGTAATGCATGAATTGAAGAGAAATAGTTAGAAAAAATTACAAAATACCATAATCTGCAAATTGAGGTTGAGTGATTATGGAAGAAGAAATCAATGGTTGTACCACTAGTAATAGGGGCCCTTGGAGCAATACCCAGAGGGCTGCCTAGATACATGGGAATTTTGAACTTATTAGACCTAAATATTCTGACTTTGCAAAAAACCACTTTACTCAGAACTGCCTATATACTGAGACATTACCTAAACAGTTCTTAGGTCCTTGGTTAGGACTTGAAGTGTTAAGTTTTTACCAATCCCAAACTGTGAATTGAATTGAATATTAATAATAATAGATTGTCCTTGACTAATGTAAAACATAATATTGTATCAGATAATTCAATAATTGATCTAGGGTTCAAAGTCTAAAAGCGCAATCATCTGGACAAGAAATTAAATAATATAATCTGACATTTCAAATATAATCTGACATTTCTATAGGACTACAGAGTGAACATTTTTTTGAGGCAGCAGTGGAACGACTCCCGTCTTGCTTATAGTGAATACCCTGATGACTCCTTGGATTTGGATCCATCAATGTTGGACTCTATTTGGAAACCTGATTTATTCTTTGCCAACGAGAAAGGTGCAAACTTCCATGATGTTACCACAGACAACAAGCTTCTAAGGATTTCCAAAAATGGGAAAGTATTATATAGTATCAGGTAAACCACTATATGTACATGTTGGGCATATTCTTGGTTTTTGAAAAATATGTCGTAGATCACAGAATGGAATTTCAATATCCAGCTGAGGTTTGAATCCAATAGGGCAGAAAAAATGTCTCCACTATGCTTGGCTTTCTCTTCTCAGATGAGAAAAAGCATCATCATTAAAACCATCAAGGATTGATAAGATATAAAAGAAGCTTGCTGCTCCAAAACCACATTCCCATCTTCATGAGTTGGGAGTGCACAAGCTTACACTTGTGTAAATTGCATTTCAAAGCAAAAAGAAAATGTAGCCTACTATATGCCTGAAAGCATGCCCCATGTGCTAGTATTGGGCTACTAATAATTTAATTTTTACAATGGAGCCTTCCAGATAGAAAGTACACTTAAATTATGAAGCTAAATTAATAATTTCTATACAGGTAGTCCTTGATTTGCAACAGTTCATTTAGTGACTGTTTAAAGTTACAACAGCACTCAAACAACTGACTTATGACCATTTTTCCCAGTTACAACCTTTGCAGCATCCCCATGATCATGTGATCAAAATTCAGATGCTTGGCAACTGGTTCATATTTATGATGGTTGCAGTGTCCCGGAGTCATGTGATCAACTTTTGTGACCTTCTGACAAGCAAAGTCAATGGGGAAGTCAGAATCACTTAACACTAGTAACTATGTTACTAACTTATGAACTGCAGTGATTCACTTAACAACTGAGGCAAGGTCATAAAATGGGGCAAAACACACTTAACAAATGTCTCACTTAACAACAGAAATTTTGGGTTCAATTGTGGTTGTAAGTTGAGGACTACCTGTATTCTAATTTTTTCTCTTTCTTGCTGCAATATTTTTTATCACCTGGAAGCTACATATTTATTTAGTGAAGAATTTGAAACTATAATCCAAAATCTCACGAATTCTTCTTAGATGCAATAAAGATTTAAGAATTTCATCCATACAGAAAACCCCCCCCCCATTTCAGTGTATTTTCTACTTTATCTGCTACAGTTTCTGATTTTATTTATGTGAAGAAAAGCTAATTAATTTTAACCCAAGTCCTAAGATCCTTTTTTAGGTGCACGCCAGGGACAAGCAAATGCTAGTTTTGTGAACTATTGTTGCGTTGTTGTAATTGTTGCATTATTGTAGTTATTGCATTCCAATGGTCATTATAGGTTGGATACTGATGTAATACCATTACTGGTTTACTGAAGACAGAGACAATATTTTAAGTGGTGTTTTGAGTTTTCAGAGAGTTAGGTTTTTTTTCTCATAAACTTTTTTAGGTATAGGAAGCATATTAGGAACTTTTACTCCTTCAAAAAAAAAAATCAGCAGAAATCACATCATCATTGCTTTATGGATTAGGCTATATTCTAGTGGCACAATCTCCGGGGATTTGGAAACCATACAAAGCAATTTAAGTTGTTTACAGAACAGATAGAAACAAATAATAAGGATAAATAAAAAGAGAATCAGGATGAATTCTAAGGTTAAACCTACAATTGTGGCTCTACATATTGGATAGAATTCAGTATTATTTAATTGTGCCCTCTGCTCAGATTATGGAAGGCCTGGTCGAGGCTTAGAAAATCCAAAAAGCTATGGTCAAAATAAAAGATTAAAGAACTTCATCTCCTAAATCTATTCTCTCAATAATTTTAGAACTGCTTCTAACAGACATAACTACTCAACATAACCTATTAATTCCAACTCAGCAGTCCAACTCTGAGATAATGTCTTCACTCTGTCTGAGACATCTTTTGAGTTATCTGTCTAGACCAGAGTTTCTACGCTGGCTGGGGAATTCTGAGAGTTGAAATCACACATCTTAAAGTTGCCAAGATTGAGAAATGCTGGTCTAGACTACAATCCAAGGATTAAGCAGTCTCCCTTCTATTTAGCTTTTAAGGCCAAAGTTAGCTAGTTGGGGTTAGAGGATCTCTCTGCAGGGATTTATACTATGCCTATGACTATCAGAAACACAATCTCACGTTGTTATTTTTTGTTTATATATTTATATACAAATATAATTATTAATCTTATCTGTTGGGTGGAGCACCCAGTCTACCAAATATAAATCAGTCTGTTCTGTGTTTCGCTCCAATCTAGGAGAATGTTTTGCAGACAGATGTCACATACTGTGAATACTGTAAATTCAAAATTTTGTGGCTGACAAAGAGTTAGTGGGAGACTAGTATAGCTATTTCAAGCTCTTTTCAAGCTATACTAGTCTCCCACTAACTCTTTGTCAGCCACAAAATTTTGAAGATATAATTATTATATGGTTACATAACTATACTTGCATTTTATTAAATTCAGTATGTTTTATCTAGCAATAAACCCAAATCCAAAAATGCAATTAACTGACTTTCTGTATGAGAAAAGTTAATGAGGCACAAACATGTTTATTCAGTGTGATATTCTTTCAAGATATATCAACAGCCACAGAGTGAATGACCACCTGAATTCTCAGTAGAAGTAAAAGTGCTGTTACTTAACAGTGCTATTTTCACCTGTTTAGAATAGAATAGAGCTGGAAGGGACCTTGGAGCTCTTCTTGTCCAGCCCCTGTTCAAGCAGGAGAACCTATACCATCTCAGACAACTGACTGCCTAGTCTCTTCTTTAAAACTTCCAGTGATGGAGCTCCCACGATTTCTGAAGGCAAGCTGTTTCACTGGTTAATTGTCCTCACTGTTAGAACTTTCTCCTTAAGTTGCTTCTCTCTTTGGTCAGTTTCCAACCATTGTTTCTTGTCCTGCCCTCTGGTGTTTTGGAGAATAGTTGGATGTCCTCTTCTTTGTGGCAGTTCCTCAAATACTGGAATCCTGCTATCATGTTGCTCCTGTTTTTTCTTTTCTTTAGATTAGCCAAACCCAAGTCCTGCAGCCATTCTTCACATGTTTTAGTCTCCAGGCCTTTGATCATCTTAGTTGCTCTTCTCTGAACTTTTTCCAAAGTCTCAACATCTTTTTTGTAGTATGGTGACCAAAATTGGTTGCAGTATTCCAGATGTAGTCTTACTAGGGTTTTATAAAGCAGTACTAATACTTTGCATGAACTTGATTCTATGCCTTTGTTTATACAACTCAGGATTGTATTAGCTTTTTTGGCTGCTGCTGCACACTGCTGGCTCATAGTCAAATGATCGTCCACTAGAACTCCAAGGTCCCTCTCAAAGTTACTGTTTTTGAGCCAGGTCTCACCTAATCTGTACTTATACCTTTGATTTTTCCTGCCTAAATGTAAAACTTTGCTTTTCACCACATTAAAATTCATTTTGTTGGATAGGGCCCATTGTTCAAGTTGGTCAAGATCTTTTTGGATCCTGAGCTTGTCTTCTGGGGTGTTAGCTATTCCTGCAGATTTGATGAGTTCCCCTTCTACTCCATCATCTAAGTCATTTATGAAGATATTGAACAGTACTGGGTCTAAGACTGAGCCTTGTGGTACCCCACTGCTTACCTCTCTCCATGCGGATGTAGTAACATTGAGGACTACTTGCTGAATACAGTTGGTCAGCCAACTACAGATCCATCTGGTGGTGATGTTGTCTATCCCATATTTTTCTAGCATACTAAGCAGCAGGTGTGGTTTACTTTGTCAAATGCCTTACTGAAATCTAAGTATACTATGTCTACAGTATTTCTCTGGTCTACTAATTTAGTCACTTTATCAAATAATGTTTAATTTGAAGGAAAACAGAATGCTCCTGTTTGCTTGAGTGATGCCAGATATATCTTACTAGGAGCAATGGTGCAGTAGTGTGTTATTTGGAATGCAGTTGGATAATTTTTCTGACATTTGTACATGTCACAAAATTAATATACTGCTCAAAAAAATAAAGGGAACACAAACTCCTTCAATTCTATGTTAAAATGTTCCCTTTATTTTTTGAGCAGTATATTTCAAGATGTCATTTCAGATTTCTAAAATGTATATGCTTGGACCAAAGTTAATATGATAAAGTATATATAATAGTTTGTTTTGAATCCAAAGATTAGCATCTCCCTGTTGTGTTCTATTGACCATAAATGCCTCTTTCATAGACAATCAGCATGAAGGAAGCATATTGGAATCTAAACCTTGCAAATATTTACTTTAAGAATTACTCAGTAAAAGGCAGTAGGATGGAATCTGTCTTCCTATTTCTTTTCAATGGATGCAAAACCATATAAAGTAACCTTCTGCATCTCTCAGTATTTCCAGATTCTGGATGATGGCTCTTGCAAATGGCCAATGCAGAGGAAGATTTCAGCAGGTCTGAAATTTGCAGTAATTAAAGATGATCAAAATAAAGCATATCATCGTGCCAGGCATAGCAACCTTTTGGTCTCAGTCTTAAATATTATTTTGGCAGAAAAAGGGAGCCCATTTAAACAGGTAAAAAAGTTTCCTTTATGCCAGAATTTGGTATGAAAAGCTCTAGTCCAAAGAAGAAGGTACAATTTGAAAGGCACATTTAAAACTAAATTTGTGAATTTGATAGTGCTGTACATCTCTGCTCTTCCCAACCTCTCTGTATGAGTTTTCCCCTCATTGCCAGATCCTGCCCCATATATTTGAAAGATCTCTTGGTCTATGTTTTGGTCACAGTCTCAGACCTCCATATTTGTGAGGAGGAATTGTCACTTCCAGTTTAACTCATTGTGCTTGCAGACTTGAGGAATGAGCATTTTGTCAGTGTGCAAGAATTTATGAACTGGAATAGCCATAGCAACAAACCAACCAATGGGAACTGTTATTTAATTGAGACACAGGATTGGCTGTGTGAGGCATGTGATCCAGACTAGGTCTGGGCATGTCTTAGTCTTCCGTGTCCTGATCTCCAAGTTAAGAGTTGTTCTCTACCATTGCCAAGAACTGAATGAAACTGTGTGTATCATGTGTTAGAAGAAAGTCTTCATCCTGGTTCATCCAAGCCGGGAATAAATAAGCAAACATGG